TTGAAAATTGATCAATATGTCACATAACTTGGTGGTGAACATAACATTCTCAAGAACGAGATTTTCTACACCTTTATTTAATTAAAGTAGACAGATCATATATATGGTTTTCACACATATATATATATATATATGATTATTCATTACTTGAATTAAATTACATTCATTTACATGCATATTGGCGTTAGACTTTATTGGTAATCTTATGGGTTAATTGATGTAGCTATCAACTATGTCGTGTTTGGTTTTTAAATTCTATTTGAGGAGCAATTCATCATGATATTCAAATTTCCACACTTTGTTTCTAATTTTGTCCCCAACACTAATTTGGCTTCAGTCAAATTGTCAAAACCTGGTATATAGATATATGTATGTGTAAAAATTTGTCACATTTACTATGTTGTTTGTAGCAAAGCTTAAGAAACAATTGTGTTAGTTTTTAGTGTTAGGTACATTTTATTTTTTTTGGGTTGTTTGAAGCATACGATCAAAGTGGGCCAAAAATCATCACTTATGCGCTTCAAAATGAATGAAATGAGCCCAATAGGCCCAAAGGCCTTTGTTTCTTCACCTCACCTCTATCACAGCCTCGTACAATTTCATTGTCGAGACAAATCAAGGATCAAATCAGTAAGGTAAATGGGTTTACTTCCAATCAGAATAAAATTCCAGAACCCTTGTTCAACACAATTGCTGTCTTCTTCATACCACTGCACTCCAAATTCAAGACATTTTTCACAGATTTTGTGCAACAATAAGAATTTGAGTAAGTGTTTACCCTTTACACTTAGGACCAGTAGTTAGAGCACTTGCCACTGAATCAGCATCACCACCAGCAGCAAAGATGGTCAAAGCCATTCGAGTCCATGAGCTTGGTGGACCTGAGGTCTCTCTCTCTGTTTCCATACATATGCTTTTATGTTTGAATTGGCCGGCTATTGGGTTGTGCTTTTTATTTTTGTCAGATTATCAAAACTCACTTGTGTATAATTACTGGTTACTTGTCTTTATTTCTATCAGTGTTAAAAGTATTTGAGATTGCTGAATTCAATTCGCAGTTTGTGTATAGTGTATCAAGTCTCTTCATAAATAATCCTTCACATAAGTCGGCCAGTAGATCAGAAAACAATATATAGTTTTTGACACTGATTATTCAATAATCAGTATCCATTACTTTTTTTTTTGGGTAAGGCAGTATCAGTTTGTCTAGTTTTGCTTAAAGAAAATTTATCTTTGACCTCCCATATTTGTCAGCTCAATGCCATTATTCCTTTACTTTCCTCGTCATTTTACTTATTTTTGTCATGTGATGGTGTTAGGTCTTGAAATGGGAAGATGTAGAAGTAGGAGAGCCAATGGAGGGAGAGGTTCGTGTGAAGAACAAGGCCATTGGGCTTAATTTCGTTGATGTATACTACCGCAAAGGCATTTATAAGGCTGCTACGGTCCCCTACACCCCAGGTTTTGCTGCATTTCTAAGATTATTATTATTATTATTTTGAATAGAAACATTTGTATTGATAATCAAGAGGAAAAGCTATCCTCGATTATACAACAAAGAGAGAATCTGCCCATTATAAGCAGAAAGCAAGAAAGATTCATCTAAAACTACTCCAACCAAAGATAGGTTAGAAGCTAAAGCACAACTTAAGTAAACTTATCTTAAGACAGCACCTTTACCATATAAGATTATGAAGGTACAGTTCAACCAAGATTGACTTCTAGCCAATTTTTGACTTCATGTTCTTTTTAAAAACTTTGGTTTTTCTTCACAGTTTTCTCTAATAAACCTTTACCATGAGAGTATATTTTTTGAAATATGGTTAGGAACGATTGGGGTGAACCTAATACAACATAATACAAGAATGCAGAGCATGACATCAGAGAACGATTTCCATTGTTAGATTTGTTGTATATATTTACATATAAAACTTGTTTGGGCTTTGATAATGGATTTACACAATTTATTTACAAATCAAAACAGATTTCAGGTGTTGAGGCTTGTGGAGTTGTGACAGCTGTGGGACCAGGACTAACAGGCAGGCAAGTTGGAGATCTTGTAGCCTATGCTGGTCAGCCAATGGGCTCATATGCGGAAGAGCAGATCCTTCCTGCAGACAGAGTTGTGCCTGTTCCTCCTTCCATTGATCCTACTGTTGCTGCATCCCTCTTGTTTAAAAACATGTCCTATCATTATCTGATGTAAGATAAAACTACCATTCTTGTTCTCTTGTTGATTCCGTTCCACCAGACAATCTGTGGAAAGAAAAAGAAACATAACAACTAAGTATGAATTCAATAAGTGTAAGATAAAACTACCATTCTTGTTCTCAAGATAGTGCACCTTAAAAAACAAGCTCTATTGTAAACCAGCAACGTGTAATCAACTAAGTGCTTCAATCTTAATTTGGGTTCATTCTACAATTGCATGCTTAACATAGCCCATCCTCTTTCCTAATGTTATATATGTTTAAAAAATTTGAAACTTATGTTGCTTTTGTTATTAGGTCTGACTTGAGTGTTGTTATACAGGTTGAACCTGGACACACAGTCCTTGTCCATGCAGCAGCTGGTGGAGTTGGATCCCTTTTATGCCAGTGGGCTAATGCCCTTGGTGCCACTGTCATTGGAACTGTATCTACTAAAGAGAAGGCAGCTCAAGCCAAGGAGGATGGATGTCACCATGTCATAATCTATAAGGAAGAGGACTTTGTTGCTCGAGTGAAAGAAATAACATCTGACAATGGGGTCGAGGTTGTTTATGATTCTGTAGGGAAGGATACTTTTGAGGTAAGCTATACTTTTCTTCTCTCTTTTTTCTACGAATTAACAAAAACACAATCAAGGGTGTTTAGGGAGAGATCATACACTGTTCAAATTCTGCATGAGTACATTTGAGTGGGCTTCCTCTTAACATGGTGCTGAAGTTTCTCAATGCTAGACCAGGCCTACGAAACTAGTTGTTTTTTAATTTGAGCCAGGTTTATGAATTTTTTAAAAGATGAGGGGGTCCATTTAGACGGAATGCTTTAAAGTTAGGAGTTGGATTTTGACAAAAGGCTTTTATGTTGGATTAGTCAATCTAGCTATATTTTATTTACTAAATTCTTAGACCTGAAATCACTCTTCCTTAATAGACCCTAAAGTTAGTTACATTGTGATTGTGGTAGTGCAAACAGTTGGTAATCAGTAATTAAAAGAGAAGAAGAAAAGACACCCTCAAATAAGTGTGTTGTGGCGTGATTTATCCAAATGTTGCAAGCCCAACTGGTCTCCCAGATCAACATAATCTGGTAGATAATGAGTTCTGGGTAGGCAGTCTTTTGCTAATTTGTGTTTTGGACTGAGAATCCTTAATTGGGAGTTATTGTTGTATTCAGGGATCACTGGCATGCTTGAAGACTCGTGGATACATGGTGAGTTTTGGGCAATCATCAGGTGCGCCAGATCCGGTTCCATTGTCAGCCATTGCAGTGAAGTCACTGTTCTTGACTAGGCCTAGACTCTTCAATTACGCTGTAACTCGAGAAGAATTGCTAGGGATGGCGGGAGAGGTATTTGGTAATGTTCAATCAGGTGTATTGCGGGTTCGAGTAAATCACGCCTACCCATTGTCTCAAGCAGCATAGGCACACGAAGACCTTGAGAATAGGAAAACATCTGGATCTGTTGTGCTTATCCCCTAAGGCAAATATGAGTTTGGTCTGTTAATTTTAAAGGCAACGTGATGGGTGTGTGTGAAAATGGATAAGGAACGTTTGCCTTCATGTTCAGGATAGCTGCTGTGCCAAATGAAATGGATGTCTCCGACTGCAGTCATCAAGAGACTTTGTTAAGCTAGCAATAAAAACAAGAAAAACTGGACTTTTTCCATCTTGCTGATTTCTAAGTTTTATCTTGAATTTATTGTAATTTATTGCAAGTACAAATTATCTTTTTCTTTGTATAATTGTGAAATTGGGGTATTATAACAAGGAGGATAATGATATCAAGGCTTAAAAGAGTAGAAAGAGAATTTATTCCGAATTGGCAATGTAATGTACCCTAATTAATTTCCATGAACATGAAACCTTGCCGATTTGTATGAGCAAACTTAGCTCAGCAACAGTGTTGTTGACATACATAACCGGACGCAAATATTTGTCTCTTTGAATGTGCTTGCTTATAATTTACAAGAAATATGCCGGAAATATTGTTGGAAAATATATTGGGCTGTAAAATGTGCAAATGAGGCCCGAGACTCTATTTCAGACTAGATTGCACCAAATCAGGCCAGTTCTATGTCATTAACCGTTTACAATCTATGCTTTTGGAACCCATGTCAGATTCTTTTTTCTTAATGTAGAGTAAAACTTACGCGTAACCTACACATATTTTGTCTATCTCTCTCCTCACGTGAATGATTGTGTATGCTCGAGTTACAAACGTTTCTCTCGACGAAGCATCCTCAAATTCTACTACGTGGAAAAAATGCAATGGTGTAACCTCACACACAATTCTCACTATGAAAACCATGGGCTCCTAAGGCGGTTTCTTGGAACTTGTTACCTTGAGGCTTCTCTATAAATTAAGGGATCCTAGTCCTATGACCACAACACACACTCTTAGAATTGGTTGAGTTGAAATGGGAGATAGGCCTCCCAGAAGCCAATGGGAATGAGTGACTTGGAGGGTTCCTCAGAACTTGTTTTCATCTTCTTCATGAAAATTGAGGAGGTGAGATTATAGGAGTTCTCTCCCAAGTCACTCATTTCTATTGTTTCTGGGAGTCTCTCCCTTTTCTCTACATACCAGACGCTCGAGATTTGGATAATTGTGCTACGTTTTGTTTTTCTTTACAGAACGTCATGATTAAGTAGGCGATTGGAGATTTACTATGTGCACCAAGCTGGACTTTCAATTATAATTGCAGAATTTGGTCACATTTTCCTGGTTTTATTCTACTAATACATATTTCCTGGCTCATATATTATTATTATTATTATAGGGTAGAGACTTGGTCATAGATAATTGACCGAGGATCTATAGGTGGCACCAGGTTTCCACCCAACTGGAATTACATCTTTGGCCAGCAAAGTTTGGGCTGAATACTGAGATGTCAACCTTATTGACAATGGAGGATGCAATTCTGAGCCTGCATCAAGTTTCCACACTGCACCCCATGATTGTTGCATGGCACGCCATTCATCACCACCGTCCGATGAGGAAGCCTCCTTCAACTCAACACCAGCAAGGTCACCATCTTCCCCCTCAAATTCAATCACAGCAGCAAAATAGTTTGAGTTTGAGCCCTGGTCCATGTGGAATGCAATGGTTTTTCCTGAATAGTCACATGCCACACTGGCGAACACTAAAGTTTGTCTACAGTTATTTATACGTCCAAACACTAAAGTTTTATGAATGTTAGCTATTATAAATAATGGGCTTCTTAGATCTAGGTCCACAACGATTAGCTATCATTGGGTTTAGTCCTCGCGGTTTTAGTTTTAGATGCAGGTCC